AATATATATCAGACCTGCAGGGACTCTGATGTTCTGTGTGAACACAAGCATCATTTTCACTTTCTTCTGTAATTTCAGTGAAAATAAAAACATTTCAACCTGTATCGCAATGTTTTAGAAATGCATCTTTTTTTTTATTTGACATTTTAAGGAACAACAATCCCAAAAAAAGCGGCAGAATCTTGGAGGGAACTGATCAATAACAATAAACTATCTGTGGAGAGATTCGATCAATAACTCCAGAGCTGCTTCTGATATTCACTCATCCACTAGAGGATTAGAGCCACTGTAGGTCAAACTAATTATAATAACTGGAGATTTTAAAGTTAAACATTAAACAGAAAACAAGTGAAAATAACATCTATTATCTCATCATCATTGGATTTAAAGATCATAGCGACAGTGTCCGTCACCTCTTCACAATAAAACATCTAATGACATTCTAACTTTATAAATATATAATAATATGACTTTATAAGAACCATATCTCACAAACACACTCACCTCGTTGATGTCTCTGCAGAAACAGTCCCACACAGGAGGAGGAAGAGGAGGAGGAGGTCTCCCTGTGCTTCCTCCTCCCTCGTACAAACTGTCCACTCATCACTTTACAAATGTTTCTGAATTTCATAACATTTCATTTATTCCTCCAAATCCGGCCGAGATTCGCAGACGTCAGGTTTCACAGCTTCCCTTTTTATTCTGACTCATTGTTCTCTTCGCTCGGCACTTCCTCAAACCAACGTTCGCAGTAAACAAACTGTGTGCGAGCTTTAACACAGACTGACAGTTAAAGTTTCCTTAAAATAAAATCGCTTACAGCTTTTACTCTACTTGGACCTCCAAAGGACCTCTGACTCTATATTAAAGGACCAGTGTGTCGGATTTAGTGACATCTAGTGGTGACGTTACAGATTGCAACCATCTGAATACAACTCAACCCTCCAAGTGTTTAGGAGAAACTACGGTGGCTGCAAAGGCTCCTATCTACAGTCAGTGTGTGGTTTGTCTGTTCTGGGCTACTCCGCACGTCTCACTCTGAGGTGACAAACACATAATGATTCTTATTTTAAGGTGATTAAACACTAATGAAAACATACATATGAATATTATATTAATGTGACACACTTGAGCTTTAAAACTAATATTTAAATACTTGAAACAATAATGTAAAAAATAATAATAATCTACTCCAGACAATATTTCATAAACACGTCTTTTTTTAATGTTTTGACATTCATTGTTAAATATGGGAACAATATGACTGAGGATGAGATTTTTAAGGTATTTTTTTATTGAATGTTGATGAGGTCAGAGGTCAGCCCTCGGTGAGGTCGTCGTTGAAGTGGAGGAGGATGGCGGGCGTGAAGAGGTCTCGGTCCAGTCGCAGCTGCTGGAGCTGGAGGTCGTCGTCCAGGACGTCGTTCTCTGCGAGCGTCCTGCTCATGTCCAGAGTCGCTCCGCCGTGTTTCCAGGTGTAACTGCAGGCGTGGGAGTTGTAGTGCAGGTAACGCTGGAGGATCTCCGCCAGAGTCTCCTCCGAACACACCTGAGGAAGGAACCACACATGATAACGTTATCACTGGCTGAATACTATCTGAGTGCATATTTACTTATTATAGCTGGTTAACATTTACGACGTAGTATTAGGGCTACACTAAGAGGAAAATAAATAAATAATAAATAACATTTTGGAAATTACGAGAATAAAGTACAAAAGAAGCAATTTCTTCCAAGTCCGTGTGGTTCTTTCTTCGAAATAGACTCAGTCGTTTGCACAATCGTTCCAAAGTCCTGATACTGATAATAATTTGATGCTGAAAGATTAATTATTTCCTTATTCGTGACACTGATACCAAAGTATAACTTCACAAGATGCTCA